CTTAATTTTTTTCCCCCACAAATCAAAACTCACAAATACTCCATAGACAATAATGCCAGCTAACCAAACTTTACACTAATCTCCCCCTAAGAAATCATCACCCCGGAAATGGAGTTGTATCCCCCATTCCACATTGTAATCAAAATTCACCTCGCTTTCTTCTTTCTACAATAAACCCAGTTAAAAGATGAAGTAATCTAGCAAATAGAGAACGGGGATGAAACGGATACCATTCGAAGCATGCCGGGAGTGCCGGGGTCCTTGATGGTGGTCTTGTACTTGGCCTTCTTAGCCAGTTGAGAGTGAGAACCCGACATCTACGCAGCGAATCAGTAATCTTTTAAGCGATCCTATGAAGAAATTGATAGTGGATTACGCTTAAATCAACGAAATTTGAAGAATCCAGGCCGTCTGTGTTAGTTATATACAGACTTTCTGGGGGAGAGAGATTGAAGCATGAACAGGATTTGATTCCTTTAGGGGGTTTAAGTGGTTTAAAAAATTCTCAAAGGTCTACAACAAAAAAATTCTGTAAATTTTAAGGGCTTTGACGCATTAAGTGACAGAAATAACCAATGATCAGATGACATGTCAGCATTCTTGAGTGGAATTGTTGCAGCAGATTTGTCACCCCTTTTCTTCTACAACAGGAACTCAGGCGAAGCTCTGATAATAATTCCAACGATCTTTTTCAATCTGCAACCGGCGACGAGCAGATAACACGGCTGGAGATCCAATTGGAGGAAGGCACAGGAAGCGAAGATGAAAGTCACTGTAATGACCGCTGATGAACAGATCCTTACCATTGACGTCGATCCTCATGAAACTGTAAAGTACCATGAACCCTAATTTTGTGCCTGCTATCGTGTCGAGATTGAATTGTGTGTGTGCTGATGTTTGTGTTTTTCTTGGTGGTAGGTGGAAAACGTGAAAGCTTTGCTTGAAGTGGAGGTGAGAGATTGTGTTTGGATTTAATTGATTTGGATTATGTTTCTACTAAAGTTTGGATCTTTGAATGTTACTTAATATTGGTTGAAGATAAAGTTTGTCGCTTTGAAGCCTAGCTATTAGCTAATGTTGATTAATGAATGTCTTTTTAATTGTTTAGTTAATGTTGATTGATTTTTTTCTTGACTGTGTGGGCAGACAAATGTGCCACTTCTGCAGCAGCAGCTTCTCTTTAATGGGAAGGAAATGAGGGACTCTGAGAAACTGAGTGCATTGGGGGTTAAGGATGAGGATTTAATCATGATGGTTTCTGGTGTTGAATCTAGGTACTTGCATTGGTATTTGTGACTGCTTTCTTATATTTTGAATTTTAAAGGGTCATTAATTTTTGAAAGGTTTTATTCTTTATGAGAATATTTGAAAGGTTTGACATTAACCAAATTCAGCACCAATTTAGAAATTTGCATTCTTGTGTTTTGTTTCTGTCTTCTTCTTCTTTTTTTTTTTCTTTTTTTTTTTTTTCCTACTTTGGCATGTTGAACATATCTACAATCGGTCAATAGCTAAGATGATAGCAAGTACAATGCAAATATCCAAGATTTGTGGCTACAATCTACTTTTTAACATGAGACTCTACAAGAATAATGAATAAATGTACACTTTGTAGATTTTGTAATTGGGGCTTAGTTAATGTAAATTAAGAATGATATATAAACATCTCAACATGCATACTACTGAATTGTGGATGCATGAGCCCATATTTGAGTTTCTTGCAAGTCAATATAGACAATTTCTATTGTAATTAATTTCAGGCCAGCTAGCAATGATTTGGCCTTGAATCCTGATGGTTCTGCTGTGAACCCTGGAGCACTCCAGCAGCACCTTCGACGTGATTCCAATCTTCTAGGACAACTATTTCAGGCTGATCCTGAACTTGCACAAGCTATAACTGGAAATGATCTTAATAAACTGCAGGAACTTTTGAGAGCACGTCATCGCCAGAGATCTGAGTTGCGGCGCCGACAAGCTGAGGAGCTAGTAAGTAGCTTCTACTGTTAGCTTGTGGCCTTAACTTTCTATGGATTATTTTTAAGATGAAATTAGATTACGCTGCCTGTTGCATGATTAATATATTTTATTTGATTTGTTGGTTTAGGCTCTTCTCCATGCTGATCCGTTTGATGTTGAAGCACAAAAGAAAATTGAAGCTGCCATTCGTCAGGTCAGTGTTCTGTTACTCTTTTATGTTTGTTATTATTTTCTTACAAATAAATTAATAAAAGGGATAAGATTCATAGAATCTATAATAAACAACTCTCAGTTGCGCACAACTGCTACTTATTTTGGTGCAAAATCTGAAAGAGTTTGTTCATTACTTTATTCAAAGACAAACTGTTCTGTTTGCCTTATGAATAAGGGTTGAACGCTGGGTCTGATTTTTACTCTATTATTTTTTATCTTATTGCTGGCTTTTATAGTAGTTTTGCTTTTAGCATGTGTTTTATTTTTTGGCATGGTTAAATAATAATGAAATCCACTTTTTAAGTTAATATATTTTTTCTTTGTTTGACCTTTTGCAATGTCACTAATCCTACATGCAGAAAGGAATTGATGAGAATTGGGCAGCTGCCTTGGAGTATAATCCAGAAGGTTTTGCAAGGGTGGTAAGTGCACTTGTCACTTATCTTTATATTGTGAATTATATTTCCTTTTCCCTCTTCAGAATTGAGTGTTCATTCTCAAATCACGCAGGTTATGTTGTACGTTGACATGGAGGTTAATGGTGTCCCATTGAAGGTATAGTCTAGACAATGTAGAATTGCTTATCTTTTGCATGAAGCTCTTATATTGTTTCTAACTTGGATTCAGGAAAATATGTGGTGATTATAGTGCTTATGGGTTTCTTGTATTTTTCTAATGCATTAACTTTTCCTTCCCCTAATAATGTCCATGATGGGACTGCCTTTGCTTTTCTTCTTCATTTTCCTGTAACACCTTTTGCAGGGATCGGTTATGGGATTTTATAACATCTTTTGCATTCTTCAATTGTGGGGTTTTATCTGAAATTTGTGCATTTTATATAATTGTCTAGTATACCCTCCCATTCAGGTGCAACTGACTAAGCTTAATAAGTGTGCTATTTTACATTACCCCAGGCATTTGTTGATAGTGGTGCACAATCAACAATAATATCAAAAAGCTGTGCTGAGCGATGTGGGTATGTGTTCTTTCCTACTTTTCTTTTCCTTTTCCTTCCACTGATTGTTTGCATATTGAAAAGATTATCCATGTGTTGTACATACAAGTCAATTTAAAAAGACTGGATTATTTATTTATTTTAGTGTTCTTATTCTTTTTGCTGAGAAGGATTTGGGGTTGTTTGTGTTAACATAATTGTCTGGCTTCTTGGAAAGGAACAATTATGTCCATTGATATTCTCTTGCATGTCTTATAAGAATTGATGTCAATATTTCAGTTTACATCTTCATGATGGTTTTTGAAAGTTGTTTCCATTTGTCACTCCAGATTGCTGAGGCTTCTAGATGACCGTTATAAGGGTATTGCTCATGGAGTTGGACAATCAGAGATACTGGGTCGAATACATGTTGCCCCAATTAAGGTAGAGTTCATTCTATCTTTCTAGTGACATATATGAGGATAACCTATATTAGCATAAATTCTGCATTATGCTTGATGTTTTACCCAACTTATTGATTTCAATGTTTCTTTCATTGTAGATTGGAAATATATTTTATCCTTGCTCTTTCTTGGTTCTGGATGCCCCCAATATGGAGTTCCTATTTGGGTTGGACATGCTCCGTAAACACCAGGTAGCATCTTCTTCACTTAGTCAAACATTTGATGTACTTAACCATTTCAGCAATTCCATTCATCAAGTTCACATAACTGACTGGGACAATTTCTGCAGTGTATTATTGATTTGAAGGAGAATGTCTTGAGAGTTGGAGGAGGAGAAGTTTCGGTACCTTTTTTGCAAGGTTGATGATTGAGTCTGTGAATCCATCTTTTTCTGATATTAATGAAAAGCGGAAACTAACTGGATCATCTTTCTGCTTTTAGAAAAAGACATACCATCCCGTTTTCTTGATGAAGAAAGATACCCCAAGCAAGCATCCAGCTCTGGAACTGCAGTAAGTCCAATATTTGGTTACAAGTTTTTGCTGGAAGAGAGCTTTCATCAACAATTCTTTACTGGCATTTTAAGCAAATAACCTGTTTATATTTCCTCTTCTGTGTATACTATACTGAATTCTTTTTGTTAGTTTGGTTTTATTACTTTGTTACTTAAAAGTATAAACTAGAAAGAATCAGTACTATAGGGGCAAAGATGCAGAAATGATGTAGGCCTATTAGAAGCAACTTACCCTATTCCTTCTCTATCTAAAATCTAGTGAACGTATGTCCCACAAGTGTCCTGTGTGGTTACACAGAATGGACAGTTCAGACAACATTCTTTGAGGAAAGCATGGATGGTCTCCAAATTTATTCCAGTATTTGTTATTTTAGCTCACTTTTGATTCTTCAGGTTACATCTGGAGCAACTGAGAAGAGTCCTGTTCCACAAGCAGGGGGCCAGACCTCTGGTTAGTTTTAAGCATTTGATTGATTCTTCTTTGTCACACATTATTTTGCACCAGTTTCATGCTTTCATTATTAGTTAAATGGCTAACTTGACTGGTTTGAAATACTTTAACCACTATCTTGCATTAAACAAGCTTCCTTGCTTATAACATGCGTTCCAAAAATAACTGCTTTTGTGAAAGTTCAGACTTCTCACTCTCTTGGTGGTGCTCTAATCATCAGTTCACCATGGTATTCTAGTTTTTCTTATCATTAAATGCTTAAGTTACTGAAAGCTCTTCCTTCTTTTTCTTCTTGGCTCACAGGTACCCATGGCGATGTCACACAGGTTGGTGTGCTCTGCTATAAACAATTCTTTTCTCTCACCTAGCTTCTTGTCAAACTCTTCTCCAGGCTTTATTTCAACTTTGATGGAGTTTGTATCGTCATTTTTATGTTAAGGTTGATCACAACGTCTGTTTATATTAGAATTCTCAATTTAGAATTCATTTTACTGCAGAAACCTGATTTTGAAGCAAAAGTTGCGAAGCTAGTGGAGCTTGGTTTTGCAAGAGAGACAGTAATACAAGCTCTTAGATTATTTGATGGCAACGAAGAGCAGGCTGCAGGTTTTCTCTTTGGAGGCTAAAGAAAACTTGCATGGTTACATTCTTTTGAAGACTTTCCTTTTAAATTATTTGAAAAGAAACCTTACATACTGGAAAATTGTGTTATCTTAAAGCCATTTGATTCATAGACTATTTATAGGTCACGGTGACCTACAAGGACTTGCAATTCAAATAACAGTTAACTTCATCTGATTTTCATGTAATATTTTCCTTTTGACAGTGAAAATGAGTACTAAAGGTTAACTGAGGCTGAAATTTGATTCTTTCATTTCTCTAATAATCCTACAAGATTCATGTTTTACAAGTTAAACTGCACCTTTATTATTGAGATTATTAAATTATCATTAATGAAATGACCAAAATAATTTCATTAAAGGTATTATGGTAAATTTAAAAATTAAATTACACTTTTAATATATAATCTGATTTACAAAATACTTTTTCGAAACTAAATAAGTTGACCCCAAAAAAAGATTATATAGTAACCAAAGAACATTAAAGCCTCACTTGCGCCTAAACTTCCATCATGTCGGTATCGGTATGTCAGTCAGTTCACATTGAAGACACTGTTTTGTGAATCCAATACCAGGAGTCCTTGGAAGAGGAGACTCAACTCCCGGGGACACCAGTCAGAATTCTCGATTCTGAAGACAGTAACATTCAAGTTTGTTTCAACCTAAAATTTGTCTATGTACCACATCCTGCTATGAATGCGGAAAGTTCACAACTTGGCATGATAGCAAAAGATCAACCATTACTGAGCATTAAGAATATGGAAATCCAAACACGTTCCTCCATTGAATCCAATTAACTGAGAATACAAACAAAACTATTGGTGCAATGATTTGACTTGATAATGGGCTGTTTACAAATGATCATTTCTATCAAAATTGACTAACCCTAAACATTCATGCCAAATAAAGCTCCCCAACTAAATCCTACATTAATTTAGAACCTTTAGGTTAAGGAAAATCTCAAGGCAATGCAAAAAACAATTCATCAAAACCTTTCTGCCAATCTAGCACTAACTTGTCTTAGTTTTGAGTACACCTTTCCAGCAGGGGAACCTAAAATTAGGCTGCAAAGAGAATCTCTTGCAACTTTAATGCTGGAAAAAGTACCCATTATATGAATTTTGGTGTCTGCAATAACAATCCTCGTCCTTGTAGCATTTTCAATAGCATTTTTGGTTCTACCACCTTTACCAGACAGTCTTCCTATGGCACGAGACAAGTGCTCTCCTCTCAGTGTCTTAACATCCTTAATTTCAAATGAGTCCACGTAAATCTCATCCATCCTCACTAGAGATCTGGCATCATCAAAATCAAATCCCAACATGAATGCATGCAGACAATCAGCACATTTTTGTAGATGGGAAATATCGGGTGTGTCTGGCCTGGTCTTCAATTCAATCCTTCGAGCCTTGAGATTCATACGGATATCAATCTTCATATCATTGTATACAAGAGCATAGATGGCCTCCCAATTATTTCGTGTAGGCTTATACCTATGTGGTGGAACTGGAACCTTCCTGAACTGGACACGGCCATCAGACATCTCATGAGCCTTCAAAGGCTCAAACTTTGGCTTAGGCGGCAAGGACCCAGATTCATTTCTGGGTTCAGAAGTTGTCTCAATTTCCATGGAAGCATGCGCTTCAGTGTTCTGCATTTTGATACTTCAGCCTAAATAAATTAAGAAGAAGGTAGTGGTATTGTCCAATTAGTAACTTAAAAACAATCAAATGGGCAACATCTTGAATATCGAAATCATGATCAAAGCAACAAAAATAGCTCCAAATATAATAACTTTAATTCAATAACCAAAAGAAAAAGAAAAAGAAGAAGAAAATCAAATGAACTAAAAATCTAGAGATAATCATCATGACCATTATAAGCTCATGTACCCATATGATCCAAAATATCAACAGCAAGAAGAACAACAGTTAGAAGAAACGGATAGAAAAAAAAAATTCTTGAATCCCCGATAATTCGAAATCTAAGTCTATTTGATAAAAAAAAACCCTAATGCTCAAACCCTACTCAATTAAACCCAAAACTAATTTCAATTGATTTTGAGGAAAGAAGAACGCTTTCGCCCTACCCTTAATTTGAAATCGCAGAACGAAGGAGAATAGATGGAGCTGAGCAGAGGAACTCACACTGAGAAGCTCGTGGCCCTAGTAAGAGAAGCTGTGGCTGTACCTTCTGATTGTCGAAGGACGGAGGCGGCAGCAGCAGCAAACCTTTGATTTATATGAAATATATTAGGTTGCAATAGAATTTTCTTATTTCCTCTTTATGCCCCTAACCTTTTCCATTGTCTTTATTTCTTTACGGCTATATCTAAACTTTCTAATTTCATCCACTAATGTGCTTATACTCTTTTTTTCTTTTTTTTTTTTTTTTTTAAATATATATTTGATCTAGAGTCTAGACTTGTTCAAAGTTTAGATTTTTATTTGGTTTTGGTGAATCAATTTCGCGAAGAAAGTTTGTAGCTTGTGCGCGTAGAAGAATTCTC